AGCTCAACACAATGAATGCTTCAGGTGGTTTCCCCAAATACAACTGTAAATGCAACTTATAATGACGTCTTTAGTCTCAAAATTATTCAACCCCCAGAATAGAATCCCACACAACAGCACAAATATGCAAAACAGGTGTTGCCTCAAGTAAACATGATGTAACTAATCAAGGGCTTCATTAGCTCCACCAGGTGTGCTTGAACTGGAACACTTGAAATACCTGAACTAGCTAGGGGCTTGTTGAGTGATACATAGTTACATAGTTACATAGTTACATAGCTGAAAAGAGACTTGCGTCCATCAAGTTCAGCCTTCCTCACATTTGTTTTTTGCTGTTGATCCAAAAGAAGGCAAAAAAACCCAGTTTGAAGCACAATTTTGCAACAAGCTAGGAAAAAAATTCCTTCTTGACCCCAGAATGGCAGTCAGATTTATCCTTGGATCAAGCAGTTATTACCCTACATTGAAAGATTATATCCTTGAATATTCTGTTCTTGCAAGTATGCATCTAGTAGCCGCTTGAACATCTGTATGGACTCTGATAAAACCACTTCCTCAGGCAGAGAATTCCACATCCTGATTGTTCTTACAGTAAAAAAACCTTTCCTTTGCCTTAGGCGAAATCTTCTTTCTTCCAGTCTAAACGCATGGCCTCGTGTCCTATGTAAAGTCCGGTTTGTGAATAGATTTCCACACAATGGTTTGTATTGGCCCCGAATATATTTGTATAATGTTATCATATCCCCTCTCAGGCGACGTTTTTCTAAACTAAATAGGTTTAAATTTGTTAACCTTTCTTCATAGCCGATATGTTCCATTCCTTTTATTAATTTTGTAGCCCGCCTCTGCACTTTTTCTAGTGCCATAATATCCTTCTTTAGAACAGGTGCCCAAAATTGCACAGCATATTCAATATGGGGTCTTACCAGTGATTTATAAAGAGGCAAAATTATATTCTTGTCCCGAGAATGAATGCCCCTTTTCATGCATGACAATACCTTACTGGCCTTGGCCACTGCTGATTGACATTGCACATTGTTGCATAGTTTGTTGTCTATAACAATTCCCAAGTCCTTTTCATGTGTTGTTATCCCTAATTCGCTTCCATTAAGGGTATACGTTGCTTGTGTATTCTTTACGCCGAAGTGCATAACTTTGCATTTTTCAACATTAAATTTCATCTGCCATTTGAGTGCCCAGTCCCCCAGTCTATCTAAATCCCTCTGCAGCAAAATACATTTGGCTGCATGTTAGAAATAAGTCAAAAGGATGGTCCACAAAGTTAAGAGAAGAGATCGTCGCTCTTTACAAACAAGGAACAGGATACAAAAATAGCAAAAGAACTGAATGTTTCTAGAGACACAGTTGAAAGCATAGTAGGAAAGTTCAAAGTTGAAGGAACAGTGGTTACACAACCTGGAAAGGGCAGAAAAAGGAAGCTTTTAATGGCTTGAACCAGAGTCATGATAAGGCAGGTTGTGAAAATCCCTCAAGTGACTGCAAAAAAACCTGAAGCAAGACTGAGGTTTCAGTGAGCACAGTAAGGGGCATACTAAATGCAGAAGGCTTCCATGCCAGAACTCCAAGAAGTACACCACTACTGATCTAAAAGCACAAAAAAAGTCGGCTCCAATATGCTCAAAATCATATAAATAAGCCACAGAAGTTTGGGGATTCTGTTCTGTGGAGCGATGAAACAAAACATGAGCTTTTTGTTTTGAATATGTTTATTGGTTCATAACATAAATTCCATTGCAAACGTATTTGTGGTTAAGCGGATAATCGCCTACGCAGAGGCGTTGTTTTCGGTGCATGGACAATTCAAAGTAACCATGTCATGACAAAATTTAAGAGTACTCATGTTCTGCAGAATTAGATTTATCACTTTCGTTAAACAAGTTTGGTGTTGCTGTGTGTTAGCGTTATTGTCATATGTGTACAGCTGAGTTAGTGTCGATTAGTGGCATATGGTCTGCTAATATGCATCTTGGTGTATCGATACACTAAAGGAGGTGGAGGGGTATGTTCGTGTAATTGTCTTGTGTTGGCTGGTTCATGTAGTTTCTTTGTGTTAGTGGGTTTGTTTTGAATATTTTTAGTGTTGTCATATCACCCGTGTAGGTAGCATCTTCGTGAGTAGTGAGGTAAAGGTTGCCCACGCAGGGGCGCCAGGTTGCATTACATACATTTGTTTGCGTTCCATCACCTTACATAGAGGCTGGATGGTCATTGCGTGCACAATACAGCAGATATATTCACAATTTGTTACTCGCATTTTACATCTGTATGGCTTGCAGTGTTGCTATATTACCGTTGCACCTGTGCATATTGTTGTGAGTGTTTCTGCCTAATCTTATTCTATTTGTTCTGGTGCCTGTGCTTGCATGCTACCTGTGCGTCTGAATATCTGTTGCTTTATGCAGTTTGGTGTTTCCTGGTCGTGTGCGTCTAGGTGTGCCCTGTGTTTGTCACTGTACGTGTTCTAACGGGTGTTCCCCGTTGTGTCTGGTTTTACGGGCTTCGGTTGGGTGTGTGTGCCCGTGGCGTGGCCAACTCTTGGAAAACATGAGCTTTTTGGCCAAGTGGATCAGTGGTATGTCTAGAGGAAGAAGAATGAAGCATACGATGAAAAGAACACTCTGCCTACAGTTGAGCATGGTGGTGGCTCGGTGATGCTCTGAAGCTGCTTTGCATCCTCTGGCACTGGAAACCTACAACATGTGGAAAGCAAGACGGATTCATTGAAGTATCAGGAAATCCTAGGATAAAACATCATGCCGTCTGTGAGGAAGCTGAAGCTTGGGCGTTATTGGATCTTCTGACAATGAAGATCAATGATCCCAAGCAAACCTCAAATGCACCAAGGCGTAGTTTCAGTAAAAGTCCTTTAAAATTCTACACTGGCCATCACAGTCACCTGACTTGAACCCCGTGGAAAATCTCTGGGATCTGAAGTAGGCGGTTGCAGCACGCAAACCCAAGAATATTACTGAACTGGAGGCCATTGCTCATGAGCAATGGGCTAAGATTTCTCAGGAACGCTGCCAGAAACTGGTGTCTGGTTTTGCATCTCATTTGCAGCAGTTCATAACAGCAAAAAGAGTGCTCTACAAAATACTAAAGAATGAAAGGATTGAACAATTTTGAGAATGCAGAAGTCAAGTTGCATTTACAGTTAAATTTGGGGAAACCACTTGACGCATTCATTGTGCTGAGCTATTTCAATTGCTTTCGTTTAATTTGTTCATTGCAAATAGCTGAAAATTGTGACAATAAACCTAATTTTCAATGGGGATTGAATAACTTTGATTACAACTGTATTTGAATTATCACAAATAAAATCCTGAGAAATGCATAATTTAAAATGAAAGGCAAGTGTTGGGGAAGTAATAAAATATATTTTTTTACCAGCAGCTATGTAAACACACCCAGATGCATACTTTGCAACAAAGAAATGAATTATTGGCTTAATGTGGGAGATTCGGGCATATTCAGCTCTATTAAAATAGCATACTGAGTCATGTATTCCTAGAGGTGAGATGTCATCTGTATCTTTTAGGCACTGTTATATATAAAACAAAGGCATTGGTTGTCATGATTTTAATCTGCACAATATCACATAGATACAAGAAATGAATCATGCTCCACTCAAAAGAGAGACCTGGAAATAGTAAAAAAATGTTTTAAGGCAACAAATGCATTACAAAAAACTTAACCCTCCATAAGTCGCTGCTCAGATAAAACACATGCCAATTAAGCCAAATCAGCCATTTTCTTTCCCTTCCCACAAGTGGTTATCCAAGTCAAACCACATCAAGAGAAAGGAGAAAAATACTCCCAAAATACTTTTGGATAATGACTATGAATTTACTCTCCCAATAGAACTGGTTTACTGAATGATTCAGATCAGTATAGTAAAATATACTATGCATAGATAAAAATATATTGAAACTTTTTGCTATATTAAATCTGACCCTACAACAAATGGCAGAAAAAAGCATTAATGTTATCACTGATATTTGATATAGAAGGCTGATATTAAATATTTCTTATTAAAGATTTAGCACAGTGAGCTTACTGTACAGATTAACTACAAAATGCTAGCAAAGACAGACCTCAGCACTGAACAAAGAATATGGACAAGAACGCATCTGACAGTTGAAGTTGTATGTATGCATGTAGGGTTTTTATTGAAAACAAAAGCACTCTTACCTCTTTCTAAGACAAACAAACACTATGGATATTTGCAGAAAACCTAGTCATGAGAAGTATCGTAATAATTAAAAAACAAAAAATAAAAACTCTAGAGCAAAATAACCGAAGCAATGTAGGCAACACACTTGTTAGATAATACAGCACTTCAACTAGAAGCAAATGGAGATATCTCAGCCACTTTATACTCTGGAGATATGCGGGTGTTTAGCAAGTGGATGCTCTTACGTAAAAGACCACTATGGGGGTGACTTTTCATGCATGCACACCTACACTATTCTAACAAGTAAATACATTTGCTCTCGCCTGCAGTTATCCTTGGCAAAATACAAAAGGTTGTGACATTTAAAGGGAAACTGTAGCAGAGTAGCAGTATAATCCACGGTATCTCCGCTGGTAGTCAGGATAAAGCAGGTAAAACACAGGCAGCATAATAATAATCCCTCTTCCCCAAGGACTAGATGACACGATAGTCTGGGAGTCAACAGTCAACTGTCATTTTATTCTACGGTCACAGTATTTATGCAAGACGCAATGCAAGGGGTTTCCTGAATGACATTGCAGGGGTTTTACTACAGAGGACTGTGTGGGGAACTTAGCCTGTAAGGCTGTTTCCCAGCATGCCTTGCTGTACAGGAGAGATAATTGTGCAAGAATGTACTGTTAATCACATTATCTCTCCGTACAGCAAAATATACAGTTTTACATAAAATCTTACTAATATCTCAATTTACCTCCACAATCCACAGACCCCCTAGCAGATTCTGGGGCTCAAGCTGCACAGATCGATGTCCTTCTTTCAACCCGCCAAGACACCTAAGCGGAGACGCAGGCCTGGGGCCTACACCACGCAGACCCCTACGGATCTGGAGACTTTCCTCGGAAGTGCATTTGCGGCCACAGAGAACAATTCACTTGACCAAACAAACCCAGAGCCCTCTGTACACATGCCTGCCATGGGACGTCACTTCCAAAAGACAAGCACTCCGGCCGAACACCAACACATCGGAGCACTGCTCCAAAGACAGGTACGGTCCAAGATGGCACCAGCAGAAAATCTCCACACTGTGGCCTCTGACACATCCTCAGAGTGCCAACAACAGCGCAAGCAGTCCAGTACACTACCAGATCCCACAGACGGAAGATGACCTGAAGGTCCTGCTGCAGGACTTCCACAAGGTACTTGCAGCTGAGCTTGCAATACTATGCTCAGACATGCAAAAAACCACTGAGAAGGTCCGGGCTACACAAGAGGACATTATTGACATAAATGCCAGGCTCTACCAACATACAAACCACAGTACAGCAGCTGACTAAATCACATCAAACACTCTCACTACAGATGACCACCATGGAAGACTGGTACAGACGTAACAACGTCAAAATCAGGGGCACACCGACAGCAATCACAGCAGAGGAGCTACCTCACTATGTCAGGAGATTGATGGCAACAATAGTGCCCCCGGTAATGGTAATACTGCCCCAACCACCGCACACCGACAGAGACGTCATCGTCAGATGCACCTCGGCACAAGATAGGGGGCATATTATGGCGGCCCTGAGAGGCAAGACTCCACTGACCTTCGAAGAAACACAATTGACCTATCAAGATCTTACCAGAATGACCCTATAAATCGTTCACACAAGTCACAAAACAATCATCACTGGGACTGGGAGAACCATGGACTTTCACAGAAACCAATGCCCTGGGCAGGTCATGGGACCCAGCCCACACTGTACCCTTTGTTCCAAGAATGGGAGCTGAGAGGCAACTGAGTACCTCAAAGCAGTTGGCCACGAAGATGTTTGTGCCTGCTCTGAAGACGACGGGCAGAGATCTGCAACTAAAATGACCTAATGTTTTGTTTTCTATCTTTTCTCATATGGGTTCTCATTAATTGTGTTTGACTAATATTGTCTTACAGTTTGACTAAGCTGTACATCACTCCACTGAGGCTCCACTGAAATTTACACTGTAGGAAGACCACCACATGCGGGAGTGACCCACACTGCTCTAGAGTCCCCAGGTTATCCCGTCACAACTCCTAGGCGAGGCATACACTACCAGAAAGTTGGAGTGCGCTAGCAACTGCACTGGAGTCAGGATCTTCTCAGAGTACTCTGAAAAAATATACAGTATATAGTGCAGACTATCTGTAAATACAGGGTATGCAAAATTAAAAGTATATCTGGGGATCAACTCACATGGACCAGAGCTCTATCACCCCTGGCTCTGGGTTTGAATTGCTCCAATGGAGAGGGATAAACCCACAGTATAGCAAAACAGGATACTCTTCTGAATCAGATGTAATATCTAGGCAGTATAAACAAATAGAGAGGCAGGAGCCAGCAATAAACCCACAACTAGATAAGCAGGAATTTACACACAGAAAATGATACAACTTAGACACTTCCTGGTTCTGGTCACATGACCGCTGGCACCGCCTCTCTCTGATTTCACACGTGACGCGTTTCGCCCACCTCCTGGGCTTCTTCTGACGACTTGGGGCTAGTGCAGCAGCACTGCAGATATTCTTAAAGGACCACTATAGTGCCAGGAAAACACTTGTTTATTGCTCAGGGTCCCCCTCCTGCCCGGCTCTGGGGAGAGGAAGGGGTTAAAACTTACCTTTTTTCCAGCGTCGGGTGGGGAGCTCTCCTCCTCCGATCCTCCTCCTCTCCTCCCATTTGGCTGAATGCGCACGCGCGGCAAGAGCTGCGCGCACATTCAGCCGGTCTCATAGGAAAGCATTTACTATGCTTTCCTATGGACGCTTGCGTGCTTTCACAGTGAGAATCACGCAAGCGCCTCTAGTGGCTGTCAATGAGACAGCCACAAGAGGATTTCAGGGCTGGATTAACCCTAACATAAACATAGCAGTTTCTCTTAATCCTAGAGGGACCAGGCACCCAGACCACTTCATTAAGCTGAAGTGGTCTGGGTGCCTAGAGTGGTCCTTTAAGCGCTTTGACTCCATCTGGTTTTTCACTTGAGGCACACACTACACCTCAACCCTCCCCCGCAACCTCCTTGGTTAGGGGTTTGCCCCAATTAATTGCAACCCCTACCCCTACAATAGTTCTTTGTTGGAACCCATTACGCTGACACCCATACAGAACAATCTCAAATCAGAAACCAGCACAACAGGCAAACTTGCATAACCTCCCCTCATGTATATAGAAATGCTGTGCTGCAAACTCATGTCACAACCATGTCCAATTGCAAAAGCCATTCCAAGCTAATGTGGCATTCTCGGCATGTGTGTTACTTCATGTCGCAACAAAAATAAATTTTAAATTAGAAAATAAAAAAAATTCTTCTCAGTATTGAGAAAGGTGAATTATTATATAAGGACTTTGGAACGGAGCTCCCTTTACCCCGGGTGAGTACCTCCGCCAAGAACCGCTTCCAACTTTAACAAGGGAAAAACCTCAGCGCTTCCACCCCCAGTCGCCGTGGCTAGACTGGGGTCCTGGAACCTCTCCGTCCTGGAGCTGAATAGGGGACTAGCTCTATCCCAGGACTGGCTGACACTCAGCCCTGGGAGCTCTAGTCCTTACAAAGACTTTCCCCGCTGAATCCTCCACTCTGGAACAAGCTGGAACAGTGATTAGCCCTCTCCCCTCCCAGTAACTAGACGACACATAGTTCTGGGAGTACAAACTGGAATGCTTTAATCTGGCCAGATGGCCTGCTTTTATACATTTCAGAGTCACAGCAAACCCGCCCAGGACACACCCACAATATGTCCCAAAAGTGCAGTGCCATCATGACTCAGCGATAAAACATAAAATATGAAAAAAACACATCAAAATACATATTTCCCACATAAGAATCCCCACAGTCTATATATCCATGGATAGCCTGGATCTTGGCACCCAACATATCCGAAAAGCGCTCAGATCCCACAAACACAGCCAAAACGCCACCGGGGTAAAGTTCTGACCAGCCGCACACATGGTCCTATGCCCAAACCAGTTCCAAGGTGTTTGGTGCTTTTGCCGGGCCAACTTCGGGAGTTCCATGCAAAAGAAATAATGAACGCACACTCTGGCTTGTTGGTAGTGTTTGTTCGTCGGGTTCATACATACCGAACGGCGCTCTCCTGACATGTGTGGGGAAGAAGCAGGCATTCGTCAAAGTGCAGTGGTGTTCGGGAGTTTGAGTGTCCGATTTGAGTTCCTTGCGATCGACGCCCCAACACCGCTGCCTGCATTCTCGCAACCAAGATGGCCGACACAGTTCCCATGTTTTCGTACATATGAATGGTGGCCACCCAGCAGCACAATTAGAGCTCACAATGATAGAAGTGTCAGGAGAGGTTAACAGGTGTTAACAAGCACAGAGGTGATCCGCAGTTCGTGAGTTGATTCGGTTCCCAAACAGAACAACTAAATCCCATGAACCAAGTCTTTTTATGAGCCGGCTCCATGGCCCATAGTCCTCGGGTAGGAGGCTGTCTAGCAGGCTCCTCCAGGAGCTTGTGGTGAACGACCAGACCAAAGGGCGTTCATCACAGACTTATTTACAAATGAATAAATAAGTATCAGTAGTAGTAAGTAGCAATAGTGGTGCTTACCTAGAGTGTGGTTGGTTTAATTTCTTTACCATCTATGCTAGCTCCTAATATTAATATTATGTTCTACATATAGGCTTTCGTATGCTCATCATTAGTCTGAATTTAGTCTGTACTGCTGCCACTGGTGCCTGGTAAGTGGCCATTCCAACATGGGGAAGAGTAGTTATCGTGGACTCCTATGAGCAAACACCTCTACCACCAGCCCTGCCAGGTATGTTAGAGAACTGATTTTAACCAGTTTATTCTGTAGTATACGCAAGCCACCTTAAAGTGTTCAATTAACAGATTTCAAGACTATAATAGGTTGAATGAAGTTCTGAAAGTGCATTTTTACATACGTGTTAACAATAAAACTTGAATCCCATTTGACTATTAATTAAAACTAACGACCCCATTTGTTTAGATGTATGCTTATCTTTCAAGCAGTGCTTTAAATAAACTTGATAAGCTGCCTCGGAAATGTTACTTGTTGAAGGATACCTGAAGCACTCTCACAGGAGCTAAAGGTCCCATGTTTAGTATGCACCATAAAAGCAATCCAAAGATAAATGTAATAGTAATTTTAGTCTTTGCAACACGTAATTATTTGTGTTAAGAATAAGTATGTGGTGCAATGATTTATGTATACATTGTCTTTTTTTTGCTGTGATCTAAGCTTCACTGATAGATGAAATGTAAGTGTAATAGAAATTATCATTTTTTTTATTTCCAAAAATATTGATTTTTTTTTTTTTACAGTGCAGATCACATCTCATTTCCTTTGCCCCGGGCCTGGCATTTGAAATGTTCTTCCAGTACCTAAGCCATTCTTATTAATACCATGTGACAGCTTATGCAATTTGGTTTAGCATATGCTTTATATACAACAAGCAAGACATTGAGGCATAAAGGGCTTATGTCAGTCTGCAGAAGGTCAGCACATAATGCATGAGCTCTCTCATACTAGCAGCATATTCTTTCCTACTCTCTGTTGTCTTGGTAGTATAACAAAGTAAAGGTACTCATTTATTTTATAGATGTTTATATATTTGTATTATCTTTGTAGCAGGACCATTACAAGAATCCAGAGAGCATGGTTCTGTGTTTTCGAAGAATTACCCCTGGATATATCCGATTACTGCAGGTAAGAAATCTTTAAATGTTTCTTTAGTTTTAAAACATATTCACTAGTTAAAAGTAAAATATTCACTAATCTCCTTTTGGAACTAAATTCAACTTACTTTCAAACTTTACTAATGACATGTTTGGATATTTGATACATAAAACAAAGTAACATTATATTTTTCAGAATGGACTGATTCAAATATCCATATCTGATTTGGAATAGCTTAAATCCAAAGGACACTACAATAAAACCCTTGGGAAAGGTTTTGCGTAATGAATGGATAATACCTGGTATGGGATGGAATCTAAACAGTTATGGCTTCAACAACCAGTCCCTAGAATTATAACCAGAATGCAGGATCTATTAACCATCATCTTTCTTTAAATGACTCAATAGATTTTGAGATTCATAAATGATTAAAAAAAAAATCTAAGTTATAAAAGAAAGGTTAATATTCTGATCCAATCATTTTATGTGTCAGATAATGTAGTTCATTTCCTTTTGTGCAGTTCCTGTGCAGTGAATGTTCTTTTTTAATGTATTCCTATAATACTGCTATTGATTCATTGTTTGTTTTTGTGTTTTTTCACCTATAACCTTAAAACTGCAGTGTTGTATTGTTGTTGTTATTTACAATATACTTGAAAAACAAGAATGTGTGTTCTTGGTAAATCAAATTTTTTTATGGATCTACTTTACCTCCAATTCTGGTATATGACAGCTGTATCAAAATGGATAATATTAACAATAATATTTTTTTTTTAAAATGAAATAAAGAAGACGTATTTACCCTCATTTAGAAAATATTAAAGATGATGTATGAAATAATATTGAGACCACCATTAGTTCAGAATCAGCAATGCTCTAATTAGAAGTTGGGTGAGCAATATTTGATTACATGGCAAACTCTTTAATAAAGATGGAATATCAAATTGCTTATTTAATATGTTAGACTGTTTGTGCATGCCTTACATGTTTAGCTTGCAATTGCTGTAAAGCAGGTAAAATGATGCTATAACAATAATGTATGCATTTAGGACCTGTGCATATTGGCTATTGGCTAATGGTATTATTCTATAAGTGGAGTTAAGCAGATCTGCTTGTTTTCACCTATTAACTTTCATTGACATGAATAGGACATAGCAGATGTAAATTGCTTAACTAGAAAACATTTTCATCAGCTGACAGCTTTACTAGAGCTCTCCCGTCACTGTTTGACCACCTCCAAAATATTTGTTTTACATGTTTTGGTAAACACATTGCAAATTACTCATTAAGCAGTGAATTGTGACAAACTGACAACTCAAAATGTAGGGCAAGCTACTGAGTTTCTCTAAACTTTTGTCCGTTCTCAGAGTTTTCATGTCCTTTGGTTTTATTGCAATGCCTTAACTTGGCTCTCCCCAAATTAAAAGGGTAATCCAGACATGGACCTCGTGATCACCATACCTAGATGGTTATCAGCTACACCTCACTGATGAGGCCCAAAGAAGGCAACGATTGTCTTGGGTTACTGTACCTTCCTGGTGAAATATTTTATGAATATTGACAAATGTTCAAGGGTATTAGAAGACCATCTAATGGTAGTGTTATGGTTGGTGATACTGAGACTTGCTCACAGCGGTACCTAAGGTTGTTCCTCACTCCGTCAGGTTTCAATATTGTAAGTGAACCTACATTGCTGACACAGAACCAGAGATAGCTGAGAGGAGAGCTGTGCTCTCTTTTAACACATGTACTCTAACATAGCAACCAAAGGACCCCTCCAGCTGCATTGGAAGGTGGGATATGTGATTATGTGGTAAAAGACGTGGGGCTACTAATGTAGGAAATGATGCGAGTGATTTTCAATGAAAGTATTTCACAGCAATTCACTCCAATAAAACTCATCTCTGACTGTCTCTCTGCTATTTCTGACTGGATGGCTGCCCACTTCCTTAAACTCAGCTTGACCAAAATTGAAATTCTGGTCGTTCCTCCCTCAAGTGTTGCTACTCCTATGTTTGTCTCCCTCCAAGTCAACAGTGCTACCATCAGCTCCACCACGCAGGCTCGCTGCCTAGATGTTCTCTTTGACTCCGACCTCTCCTTCACGCCTCATGTTCAGTCTATCGCCAAATCCTGCCGCTTCCATATCAAAAACATTGCGTGCATCCGACCCTACTTAACGCCAAATGCGACTAAGGTGCTCATCCATTCCACTGTCCTTTCTCTCCTTGACTACTGTAATCCGCTTCTTGGTGGTCTTAAGTGCTCCCAACTTGCACCGTTACAGTCCATAATGAATGCGGCGGCGAGGCTCATCTTCCTGTCTGCCCGCACCCCCCATGCCTCACCCTTCTGTCAGTTCCTACATTGGCTTGCTGTAAGATATAGGGCTCAATTTAAAATTCGGGTTCTTGCTTTCAAATCTCTACATAATGCTGCTTCTACCTAGCTATCCTCCCTAATACACAAATATGTCCAGGCTAGGCCCTTATACTCTGCTGAAGACTTACGTCTATCTTCTGTCCATACTCCAACCTCTGATGCTCGCCTTCAAGACTTCTCGAGGGCTGCACCGTTCCAGTGGAACTCACTACCCTCCTCCATTAGATGCTCACCCAGTCTCCACTCCTTCAAAAAATCATTAAAAACCCACTTCTTCATAAAAGTGTATCAATTAAACTGTTAATAGCTCCTGACTGATTCCTCTCTTGTAACTGTCATTAGTCTAATACTATCCTTACCTTTTGTTTCACTTTACCCCACTCCCTCTAACATGTAAGCTCATTGAGCAGGGCCCTCAACCTCTCTGTTCCTGTGTGTCAAACTTGTCTGGTTACAACTACATGTTTGCTCGTCCACCCAATGTAAAGCGCTGCGGAATTTGTTGGCGCTATATAAATAATAACATAATAATAATAGTTCGTACATCCACATGTGGTGGGTATGCCCACAGATAGCGCTTTTTTGGCAACAGATTAGGGATTTGATAGCTCAAGTATTCTTTAGAGCCCCTCCTTTGGACCCGTGGCTATACCTACTGAGTAGAACCATAGATGGCTGGACAAGGCATGAACAAAAACTCATACATAAAATAACCCTGGCAGCTAGGAGAGCAGTGGCCGCAGATTGGCTTAAACCAAACACGCCACCTATAGCAGCGGTCATTAATAGAATAAGAGAGGTGCACCTGATGGATGACAGCATGGGAGGAGAGCCCACTGAGCTAGGTAGCCCGGTGCCCCCCCCGTTTACGACACATATGGATCAACAGAGGAATGTAACCCCCCTGATCCCTCTATACCACCACTGTACTTTGTTCTTTTTCTTCTGTCTTCTGTTTCAGTCTTTCTTTCTGTCCTCTTCTTAAGTTGAGCAGCACGATTCTCCCTGTAACTTCAGAGAATTGGTAAAAGGAATAGGGGTGACACACTACAGGGGGAACGTATTTGGTATTTTGAACGTATTTGGTCCACTGGGAGACGGAGGTCTTCTAAATGGCTGCCCTACATGGGCAAAGACCAGGGGAAGCTGAAAGGAAATATATTAGCCAGTGTGACTCACACCTACGATTGTTCATTTATTTTTTCAGTGGTACCGCTTTTATTTTCAGATTATTGTTATTCTTCTAAATAAAAATTGAAAATCTATATTGACATAAGGTAACCCGATCTCTATGTAGAACGGAAAGGGAGCAGCGTGCCTGACAGGGAGCATTAGCTCAGAGCATTAGGATATGTGTCAAGGTGAGAGGAGGCATTGAATACGTTGTATATTTGTTGTATACCATGTATGTGGTGTCTTGCAATGTAAACACTTGTGCATTTGTGATGTACCATATAACCTTTGTCAATAAAAATAAAGAATTAAAAAAATAATAATAATAATAATAATAGTTTTGCTCATCTATGTGCATGTGGTACATGGTGTACTAACAACTAAGTTGCAAAATCCCCATTAGAATTCTGGAGCTCCAGTTGTCTTTTGAGGATTTACTATATTTTTTAATTTTGCTTGCCTATATTGGTTTTTAAATATTAACTTTTTATTTGTATATTTTTTTTAGATCCAGGCTTCCAGCAAAATAATCATCAATGCAACAGACACAACCATGAGACGTGCAGCCATTTTTCTAGGTATAAGTGGAATATGGATATCTAGCTACAGCACACATCAAATGATTACACAAATTAATAAATAACAATTATACACTATTAATATTGCGTGAAACTGAATTAATGATATCTCTGGCTTTGCCATTTATATTACTGCTTGAAATAAATGGCCCTCACTGCCCTTTCCTGAATCAGAAAGTTTGCCAAAATATCCAGACTCTGCAACTTCTATGTCAAAGCAATTTTTTTTGTAATGTTTAACTCAAGGTTGAAGTCGATGGATGAAGTCGCACTTAAAATCCCATATAGGGTAAAAATGTAAAATGTTTAAATGAGTTTAAAAAGAAGCTTTGATATAAAAGGTGAAGAGAGATTTTGTCATATTTTCTTTAAAAAAGTGTTAGCAATTGATGTAGAGAAACCCATTCAAGCATTCCATGTAAAAAGAAAGGGGACCTTGCTCTTGTCTATTTGAATGAATGGTTTACTGATACTTCTATTTCATCTTTAAATAATGAGCTAAAGTTGCTGCCGTAGCTAGTTCTATTTGGAAATTTTAAAGCATCCAGTCCAAGCATACCACCCTAAAACTATGAAGGACATATCTGGTGTCTAACCAAATAGTTTGAAACAGCTGTCTCCAGCAGTTCATTTATTCATTTTAGAACATAAACCAAGCTTTTGTTTAAAAGTTTTATGTTTATAATAGACAGCCATTGCTAAGGAAATTACACACATATCAATAAAATAAAGTGCCATTCATTTCACTGATAAATTCATAGTTTGCATTTCATGCTAAAACTTGTATATATACAGGGCCAAACTGAGAAAAAGATTTGTTTCAGGCATTTTAGGGCAAAGTAGCCCAATAGGAGGGGGTGCGTTTTGTCATCATTGGCACTCACGCAACACAAAATGGGTATGTCACTTTTATTCACCATACGGGGCATCCCATTTGCAGAGCCCTGCTAAAGAGCTTTCACATGGGGAAAATGTCCTGTTTGTTTAACATAGCACAAGCAATTCAGATCATAAGGATGTACTGTGTTTGCTGGTGACCTATCTCTTGTTACATCACAAGTGGGACACCAGTGGACAATAAAAGGACTTGATTACAAGAGGGAAAAGAGTGTTTGTATATGCATGTGTAGGGGAGAGACTGCATGGGGTGTTGTATGTATTTTAAGGTTCATTGTGGTGTAAGGCTATCTTTGGTGTTGTGTGCATGTGTGTTTGTTAATATGTGTGGGTAGACTGGTTTGCCATTTGGTGTATGTGTGGATGTGTCTGTAGTGTGTTTGTGGATGGGCACTGTAGAATGTGTATAGGGATATGGGCTGTCCTCGGCCCATTGCAATCACGGCCCAGAGTTGGAAAACTTAACATTAGATTAGAAGCACACGATAAAGAAAATTACCTAGCTAGACTCAGTTTGTGGGATGACTGTGTTCCTTAGCAGATTGAGACTTTAATATTTGCCAGACAGTGCAGTTCAAATGAGTCCTAAGGCACCTGGCAACCCATAATAAATAATGATCTAGGTTCAACAAATACAAAACAAGGCAGGTGCAACAAGAACAGTGAAATACACAAGCAAAGCAATGGGAATTCCAATGTAAGAAACTCAGCTTCTGGGAGTGGATCCAGTCTGGCCCAAAACATACAAAGCAAACTAAAGGCTTTATAGGTATCTAGCAGAGTGGTTACTAACCCAATCTTCAAGGCACACCACAGATGCAAAAAAGTTTATATTAGGAATGCAGTTTTGTAGTTTTTCATACGTCAGAGAAACTGTTTACATTGTTACATTGTATTTTGTGTTCACAGTATAAAATATTTGTTAAACAAAATTAAATGCTATAATATCAATGTACCACACCACAGATGCAAAAAAGTTTATATTAGGAATGCAGTTTTGTACCTCTGGTACATTGATATTATAGCATTTAATTTTGTTTAACAAATATTTTATACTGTGAACACAAAATACAATGTAACAATGTAAACAGTTTCTCTGACGTATGAAAAACTACAAAACTGCATTCCTAATACTATAGTGTCCCTCTGCAATTACTTATAGGGTCTGGTAGACAGCCACTAGATGCCATCTTAGCCCTGCAATGTGAACTGTTTTACATTGCAGGTTTAAGGAGACAGGGGAAGTGCACCCAGACCACTTCAATGAGATGAAGTGGTCTGGGTGCCTATAGTCAAAAAGAGATAGACAGTCACAAATATCACATTTTAAAATAGCAAATCTAAGACTTCAGAATCTGTTTGTTTTCTTTAAAGAATATTAAAAGAATAAAGAAAAAAATTATAACAGATAATCAAAAGTGAACTAATTATGCTCTCTTACATGTATCATGAGTCAAGCAACATCCGGGACAACAAATCTGGAGTATCCAGTTTTAGAAGAATGGTGTTATGAAGCTATGAGGGGTTGACATGCTATAACCCTGGTTAAGTACCAATCTGTACATTTTGGGTTGAGTAGAACTATCTGTTAAATTAATATAATGTTGCCAGGTGACAAATATTGTTTTCTGTCAGAGTGTGGTTATTTAACAAGGATTCTATCCAATTCATATGGAATAGTAAGCAGATGTTTGTGTTAAGTAATAATAGTGTGTGTGTGGGGGTGTCATACAGGGGCAGACTGACAACTCATGGGGCCCCTGGGCAATAGGAGATCATGGGGCCCCCTGTGTACCCACCAACTTGCAAGAGACACAAATATACATCATGCACACATGTGTTACAGAAAGAGTTGTAATGCGGGGAGGAGAGGCTTCAGTAGGGGACAGGAGTTGTAATGTGTGGGACTGGGGCTGTAGTGGGAATATAAGGGCTCTAATGGGCAACATGGGCTCTAATGGGTGAAAAGGCGCTGTAGAGGGGGTATAGGGGTTCTAATTGCATATAGAGAATGTAGTGTTGGGTGGCTGTGGGGGACAGGGGCTGTAGTGGGGTAGTTTTTCGGTCCGTAGCCCCCCTTTCCTCCCATTAAAAAGTTATTTTATTCACGTTTTTGACCTAAATTAGAGTGGGTGCTGGTGCAAGATTTTTTTTCGGTCCACCTATTGTAAGGATGGAAAAAAAGGTAGATCCCCATCTTTCGTACAACTATCATAATACTTTGCCAGATGGGTATCTACCATTTTCCAATCCTTGCAGGGTTGAACTTAGTCCCGAGCAATGTTTGTATGTGTGACTGTAAGCATGTTTTAAATGGAGTATGTGTGTGTGAATGTAGGGGTGTGTCTGTATGTAGTGTTGATATTTGAATGCATGGGTGTATTTGCTTGTACAGATAAACAGGTGCAGACTCACAGATACATACACACACCAACACATATACAGATATACAGACACACACTAACATGCATAAAGATACACACACACACACACACACACAGATACACAAACACACTGATACGGATAAACAGACAATCACTAACAAACATGCAGATACACAGACACACACTAACACACATACAGATATACACACACTATCATACATGCAGATACACAGACACACACTAACACATACAGATATACACAGACACACACTAACATACATACAGATACACAGACACACTAACATACATACAGATAGACCGACACACTAACATGCATGCAGATATACACACACTAACATACATGCAGATATACACACACTAACATACATACAGATACACAGACAAACTAACATACATGCAGATATACACACACTAACATACATGCAGATATACACACACACTAACATACATGCAGATATACACACACTAACATACATGCAGATACACAGAAACTAACATACATGCAGATACACAGACACTAACATACATGCAGATATACACACACTAACATACATGCAGATACACAGACACTAACATACATGCAGATATACACACACTAACATACATGCAGATACACAGACACTAACATACATACAGATACACAGACACACTAACATGCATGCAGATATACACATACTAACATACATGCAGATATACACACACTAACATACATACAGATACAGACAAACTAACATACATGCAGATATACACACACTAACATACATACAGATACACAGACACACACTAACATACATGCAGATACACAGACACTAACATACATGCAGATATACACAAACTAACATACATGCAGATATACACACACTAACATACAAGCAGATACACAGACACTAACATACATGCAGATATACACACACTAACATACATGCAGCTATACACACACTAACATACATACAGATACACAGACACAAACTAACATACATGTAGATACACATACACTAACATACATGCAGATACACAGACACTAACATACATGCGGATATACACACACTAACATACATACAGATACACAGACACACACTAACATACATGCAGATACACAGACACTAACATACATGCAGATATACACACACTAACATACATGTAGATATACACACACTAACAAACATACAGATATACACACATTAACATACATGCAGATATACACACACTAACATACATGCAGATATACAGACACTGACATACATGCATATACACAGACACTAACATACATGCAGATATACACACACTAACATACATGCAGATACACAGACACTAACATACATGCAGATGTACACACACTTACATACATACAGATACACAGACACACACTAACATACATACAGATATACACACTAACATACATGCAGATACACAGACACTAACATACATGCAGATATACACACTAACATACATGCAGATATACACACACTAACATGCATACAGATACACAGACACACACTATCATACATGCAGATACACACACACTAACATACATGCAGATATACACACACTAACATACATGTAGATATACACACACTAACAAACATACAGATATACACACATTAACATACATGCAGATATACACACACTAACATACATGCAGATATACAGACACTGACATACATGCAGATACACAGACACTAACATACATGCAGATATACACACACTAACATACATACAGATACACAGACACACACTAACATACATACAGATATACACACTAACATACATGCAGATACACAGACATTAACATACATGCAGATATACACACACTAACATACATACAGATACACAGACACACACTAACATACATGCAGATACACAGACACTAACATACATGCAGATATACACACACTAACATACATGTAGATATACACACACTAACAAACATACAGATATACACACATTAACATACATGCAGATATACACACACTAACATACATGCAGATATACAGACACTGACATACATGCAGATACACAGACACTAACATACATGCAGATATACACACACTAACATACATGCAGATACACAGACACTAACATACATGCAGATATACACACACTTACATACATACAGATACACAGACACACACTAACATACATACAGATATACACACTAACATACATGCAGATACACAGACACTAACATACATGCAGATATACACACTAACATACATGCAGATATACACACACTAACATACATACAAATACACAGACACACACTAACATACATGCAGATACACACACACTAACATACATGCAGATATACACACACTAACAAACATACAGATATACACACATTAACATACATGCAGATATACACACACTAACATACATGCAGATATACAGACACTGACATACATGCAGATACACAGACACTAACATACATGCAGATATACACACACTAACATACATACAGATACACAGACACACACTAACATACATACAGATATACACACTAACATACATGCAGATACACAGACACTAACATACATGCAGATATACACACTAACACATACAGATAACATGCACACACAGATCACATTACCTTTCTGGTTCAGGAGGGTGGCATCTGGCTGAGTGTGATGGGAGTCTGGCTCCCTCCTCTCGGCTTCTTGGTAAGCAGGGAGGGGGAAAATCCCTGCATCGCGGCATTACACAGGGCTCCTGAATAGTGAAGCATTGCGGGTGGCCCGTGCAGGTGGTGCATGTCGATGGGCGTGTCTGACGTCGACATTGCGCGCCCACACGCACAGGGATGACATACACCTCTGCGCTCTCGGACCCTAGCTCCACCTCTGGTAAGCACTGCTGGGCCCAAGGGAGGTGTTTGACTCAAGCGGTCGGTGCAAATTCTGTTGTGTGTCTGTGTCAAAGACACACACAAAGTGGCTAGGTGGCGGGCCCCCTACCTCGGCCGGGCCCTCGGACCATGTCCGAAGTGCCCGACTGGTCAGTCCGCCCCTGAATACAAAATGGTCTACCAATTAGTGTCGTTATGTACTTCTCCAGACCTGCCTCCAGAACATCTTAATCCCCACACATCCCCAGAAGCAGTGATAGAGGTCTGCTCTGTCTGTTCCACATTTCAAATAGCTAGCCGAGTTTCTTAATTTTAAAATAGTTTTTGAGGAAAATAATTTGTACTATCTTCAAATGCATTTACCTAGTAGGAAGCTGATAGTTGTTGCTATGAGTAGCTCATAAGTTAATGTTGGGAAATGTGTTACCCACCATGACAAATCCGATTGTGTAACCATGTGGTCCAAACTAGGTTTAATTTAAGAATAAAGTGAACTAATTGAGTAAGATGAAGTAGTAAAGGGTTGCTATTTTTCTCATCTGATCATGAGAGTATGTGTAAGACCTGCAAGGGATAAAGGAGTTTCGGAATTATAACTGATTTTAACAGGATGGCACTTCCCGAAAGAGACAAAAGGAGGTATTCCCATCTAGAAAGAATGTCTCTAGATGGGGGGAGGACAATAGGTCCTCCCCCTTATTCTAATTTAGGGCCCTCACCCACCGCTCAGGGGTGGGGGCTTGGGGGGAGGACAATAGGTCCCCCCCTTATTCTAATTTAGGGTCCCCACCTGCCGCTCAGGGGTGGGGGCCAGGGGGAGGACAATAGGTCCCCCCCTTATTCTAATTTAGGGTCCCCACCTGCCGCTCAGGGGTGGGGGCCAGGGGGAGGACAATAGGTTCCTCCCCTTTTTCTAATTTAGGACCCCCACCCTCTGCTCAGGGGTGGGGGTCAGGGGGTAGGACAATAGGTACCCCCCTTATTCTAATTTAGGGCCCCCACCTGCCGCTCAGGGGTGGGGGCCACGGGAAGGACAAGAGGTCCCTCCCCCTTATTTTACTTTAGGGCCCCCACTCGCCGCTCAGGGGTGGGGGCCGGGTGGGAGGACAATAGGTCCCCGTCCCCCCATTATTTTACTTTAGGGCCCCACCCGCCGCTTAGGGATGGGGGCCGGGGGGAGTACAATAGGTCCCCCACCCGTTGCTCAGGGGTGGGGGTTGGGGGGGGCAATAGGTCCCCCTTCAGTTTAAAAGCCAGACTCATGCGGCACGGGAGGGGGACATTTTTTTAAATTTATTTTTAACGGTGAGCATCCACAGGCTGCCCGCTGTTTAATAGACATGCCCCTACTCGCGGTATAGCGAGTAGGGGCAGAATTTACTAATACTAAGTCATTTTTACTTAGTATTAGTACATTTGGCTGAAAGACCAATTTAGGTCTTTCAACCTTTTGGTAGATAGCTCCCTAATACCATGGGAAATATGGAGTTATCTACTAAGCGACTGCAATAGAACAGCCGAAGTGCCGAAGTCCCGAATTTCAGAATGCCGAGCCGAGCCGAACCGAACCGAACTGAATATTTTCCCCATGCACATCCCTAAATTTTATGTGTGTATATACCCTCAACAAGCTTTCAGGAAGCGGTCATTCAGAATTCGAATAATGAAGTGACTTTACAAAATCAAGTTATCTAACAATACTGCAAGCTGCTTATTATGCAGGGAAGCTCCTTGTACAACAACTTTGAGACAGACAAGCTCAATTGAAAATTCCTTACATTACCTTTATAGGATCACACAGTTCTTTACACAGGTTGGGTTTGTTGGGTGGCTGAGCACTAACTAATGTAATTACTGCCCATTCTGTGGACAGTATTCCCTAAATCATTTGTATTGAGTTTTACTGGACAGACTGAACCAGCATCAAGTATTAGTTGTTGATCCCCAAAAAAGATCGACCTAGCCCACCCTCAATACTTCCCATGACTTATTCAACTTGGGTAGTTTGGGATCTGGCACAAGCTTGTGGATATTCCCTGTGGTCAACACCATTACTTTCTATATATTTGTGACTCCAATCTTCCAGCCACAAAAGATGGATAATCAGTGTTATTCAATATGTATTCCAGATATTTTGGAAAGGCTCAATAACACATATCTTGCAATCTGCCATCAATTTCAACGTCATTGTTTTCCTACTTACAATTAAAGTCTCATCTAGCTATCATAGAGGTAAATTATGTGGGTAACAGGGAAGGTACTCACCTCACAAATGTAGAAAAAATGTGTTTACAACTTGCTCCACAATAAATGTGTTGTCATTGTGTTATACATATGTAAACAAAGATATGCCCGCACAGAGATTGGTCCTGGATTTTTAAAGTTTACAAGGGGCTTACATCATATGCTTCACATTTAGAAAATATGAGTAATATCTTAAACAGGTGGCATACAAGCAAGATTAAAGGGACACTATAGTCACCTAAACAACTTTAGCTTAATGAAGCAGTTTTAGTGTGTAGATCATGCGTCTCAGGTTTCACTGCTCAATTCACTGCCATTTAGGAATTAATTCACTTTGTTTCTGCAGCCCCTCACACCTCCCCTGGCTCTGATTGACACAGCCTGCATAAAAAAAAAAAAAAAAAATGGTTTCACTTTCAATCAGATGTAATTTACCTTAAACAATTGTATCTCTTTTTCTGTAAATTGAACTTGAATCACATAAAGGAGGCTCTTGCAGAGTCTAGCAAGCTATTAACAGTTCCGAAGTGTCGAACTGCTGAAGTGTCGAACCAAACCGAATGGCGGAAGTCCAGAATTTCGGAATGCTGAACCGAAATTTTTCCCCATGCACATCCCTACTTTTTTGTAGTGTAAAATTAATTTGATAATAGTTTCATTGTTTTATTTCATTGACAATGTATCAGCTTTAGGTTTATATGAGTGTATATAGTCGCCTCTAAAGCAGTCTTTCAGCTGCATTTTCATGAAATAATTTTTTTTCCCCATTTATAATCTTTATTGAAGTTTTCAAAGTATATTATATAAGTGCAGTCAATATATTGCATAATTGACATCATTAAACCATATTAAAATACAAATTGACATGAAGAAAAATACAGCAGTATACCTAAAAGAAAATCACAATAAAATGTGGTAATAGAGAAAAAAAAGAGAGAATGAGACAGAACATGTATAGTAATAGACAAGCCCATAGAAATGTTACACTTAAACCTTGTGTTTGTCAATAGAAAGAAGCGGGAGAAATAGTCATCAAATAATAAGTTTGACTAATTTAGAAAAAAGATAATGTTCAGGTTGCCAGCTAGAGCTTGCCGAATGCCATTTTTTTTTCGTATTTACAATTTAACGAGATTTGATTGATTTGAATAAGTGACATCTTCCACTTTCAAGCTAGTAATAGAATCTCTGCCACTAAGATTTGAAATGCCAAATTTGACATTGGTTTGGGTAAATTATCACGCAAATTAGGTAACTTTTCGGGGTGGGACCTGAGCCGCATGGCGGCCAGATGCGATTTGGAAGAGCTCTTGCACAAAACTCTTACCTTGCCTACTTTTTCCAATGCCCATGACGCTTGTCTGGCACTAAAGTTATCTTAAGGGTCTGTGGAGCTGATCGGGGTGCTCTAGAGTGCTCCATTGCAAGCCTGACAACACAACCCCTGAATAGAGGGTGGGGGTCCTAAAGTAAAATAAGGGGGGGGAACCTATTGTCCCCCGTCCCCCCGGACGCCACCCCTGAGCGGCAGGTTGGGGTCCCTAAAGAAGAATAAGGGGGGGACCTCTTGTCCTCCCCCCAGACCCCACCCCTGAGCGGTGGGTGGGGGCCCTAAGTTAGAATAATGGGGGGGACCTATTGTCCTCCCCCCTGGCCCCCACCCCTGAGCGGTGGGTGGGGGCCCTAAATACCAATAAGGGGGGGGACTTATTGTTTTTTTTACAGTTTTTTTTACAGTGAGCAATCACAGGCCACACGAGTAGGGGTATAATTTACTAATACTAAGTAATCTTTACTTAGTATTAGTAAATTTGGCTGAAAGACCAATTTAGGTCTTTCAGTCTTTTAGTAAATAGCTCCCTAATACCTAGGGAATTAGGGAGTTATCTACTTATTCATTCCTGTCATTACATTGACAGGCTAAGTAACTTACATTTTTTATGAATGAATATTACCTGATTGTTGTAAGTGTTGCAAATGCTTACAGCTGAATCCTGGCTATGTTTGTATACTTTTTATTTAAAATTGTATACAGTGTAACATTCTTCATTCTTCCACTGGGTAAGTATATTAGTACTTAGGCAATACTGTGCTTCGGACCTTCGGCACTTCGGTAACTTCGACACTTCGGGACTTCGGCAACTTTGGGATTTCGGCAACTTCGGGACTTCGGCAACTTTGGGACTTCGGCAACTTTGGGACTTCGGGACTTTGGCAACTTCGGGAATTCGGCAATTCAGCTATTCGGACATTCTAAAGTACCCGAATGTCCAAATTGCCCGAAATTCGTTCGAATTCGGACCGAAACGAATTGCACATGTCTACCAGAAAGTGATACTTTGGAAGGAAGAAGAATCTGATCGTATTAACTTGCAGATAAACAGGAGCTTGTGCACCAGTAAAGATTTTAATCTTGAAGAATTCCTGAGATTACAGAAACATGGAAATGCACACTGAATTTTTAGAAAAGTTCCATTGTAATCAGACAGATTTTTCCCTGATTTTTAGATAAGGATAGATGTAATTGTATTCTAATAAAAAAGAGAATACAGTTGTTTAAATATAATCTGATCCTAAATGTTCTTTGTGGCTTCTTTTCTTTAAATCAAAACAAGTAACATATTAAACTCTTTGGCATCTACAGCCAATATCTGTTCAGTTTCTCAGATTTTAGAGAACGAGTGTGTTGTATTTGTTCTGGTGAATCTGGTGAGAAAAGTCAGTGTTTACATTACAGCCCAGGAATACCCCAGTAGCCACTCCTCTTATAGCCACTAGAGGTGCTGGGGCAGTGCTGCACAGTGTGCAACACTGCCATTCATTGTCTCCACTCTCTGCATGGAAACACTGAACTTTCCTCAGCATTGATTCAATGCTGATTGGCCAGGGCTGTTTGGCTTGTACTGACTCTGTCCCTGATCTGCCTCCTTCACAGTCTCAGCCAATCCTATAGGAAAGCATTGTGATTGGCTCAGACCACCACTTCTGATAATGTCACCAGACAGCAGGCAGGTCAGAGGCAGACAGGGGCAAAACCAACAGCTGCTGACTTGAATACAAGTAAGATCTTACTATATTTAGGGAGGCGACGGGGGTCTAAATGGTGGTTTTAACACTATAGGGTCAGGAATACATGTTTGTGTTCCTGACCCTATACTCTTCCTTTAAATTGGAGAGAATAAAAAATAGAACTGTAAAATCCTTTAGAATACCAAACAATAAATGGCCACTTCAAGCTCTATAATAACTTTGTATTATAGCAAAACTGATGGTGCAAAGAACAGTCTGCATCTACACTCATAAGTGTGAGTGTATCTTAACTGCATCAATTTGTAAAAATTGTTACAGTTGAAAGACAAAAGCTCAAAGATGTCAGTCAAGCAGCATGAACTCTCATTTCTTGTGCTGACTTACTTTTATCCATGTTCTTTATCCTCCCCAGAGCTGTGGATCAACAACGCTCTGTAAGTGTCAGTACCATTAGTATCATATAAACGTGAACTTTTTTCTTTATTTTATATTTTGCATTTTAATGCATTCAGAAATAGGGGGAGAGGGGCAATTTTATTTCATTGTTTCCATAACAGGGAAATCATTCCAGAAAGACTGATAATTATGCATGGGGATGTTCTCTGTTGTAAAACCTCTGACGCACTTTAAAAATTACATTCTTACAAATAAAAATTTAAAACTTAGTGATAAAATACAGAAATGTAAAAGACACTACCTCTATGAGAAGAAACGGACAGGAAGAAAGCTGTTGACAGACTGGTTTATACAGTGAAAGAGTACAGAAGGATACCATATATGTTTTGAGAAGGCAGAGTCACATGCTCAAAAAATATTTACAAATTATCGCACAAAGCACTATACCGGACTTTAATGCATATTACGGAACACACCACATAAGCTGTCAGCCTCAGTGGTGTACTAAGGGGGGGGCGCGGAGGGGGCAGTCCGCCAGGCTGAGGGGTGTCATGACGCTGGTCTGGGTGCTGGAAGGGGCTGTGTGAGCTGTATGGCCGCACAGTGCCCTATGGTAGTTAGGGTGCCGTGCAGCCAGAACAGCTCACACACGCAAAGAGCAGCTGAAGTGGCCACACGGAGGTAAAGTGGGGGCAAAGCTAATAAAAAATCAGGGGCGGAGCCAAACCGGCAGCAGGGGCGGGGCTTAATAGGGCCCTTACCTGCTGCTGTTACTGCTGCACGTGGAGGTGCAGCAACATGGAATCCCTGCTTCTCCACAGGCTTCAGGGAAGGACTTCAGGGAATCCAGTCCTCCTCCAGCCCACTATCTGTAAGTAAGAGTGTGTGACTGTATGTGTGTGACAGTGTGTCAGTGTGTGTGTGTGACTGTGTGTGTGTGTGTGTGTAAAACTGTCTGCCTGTAACTGTGTGTGTAACTGTCTGTCTGTAACTGTGTGTGTGTGTGTGTGTGTGTGTGTGAGACTGTCTGCCTGTAACTTTTTGTGTGTGTGTGTGTGTGTAACTGTCTGCCTGTAAGTGTGTGTGTGTGTGTGAGACTGTTTGCCTGTAACTTTGTGTGTTTGTGTGTGTGTGTGTGTGTGTGTGTGTGTGACTGTCTTCCTGTAACTGTGTGTGTGTGTGTGTGTGTCTGCCTGTAAGTGTGTGTGAGTGACTGTATATGTGACTGTCTGTCTGTAACTGTGTGTGTGCATGACTGTCTGGCTATGACTGTGTGTGACTACCTGTAACTGACTGTGTGTGTAACTGTTTGCCTATAACTGTGTGTGACTGAATGTGACTATGTATGTGTGACTGTCTGCCTGTGACTGTTTGATGTTGCCTGATGTTGCCTGTAACCGTGTGTGACTATCTGTCTGTGACTGTGTGCATGTGACTGTCTGCTGCTGCCGTGTGTGTCAATGTATATGTGACTGTCTGCCTGTAACTGTGTGCATGACTGTCTGTGACTGTATGTGTGACTGTCTGCATGTGACTGTGTGTGTGTGACTGTCTGCCTGTAACTGTGTGTGTGATTGTCTGCCTGTAAATGTGTGTGTGGGGCTGCAGGGACTTTGTAGAAGGGGGCAGGGGTTTTGTATTGGGGCAGGAGTCTTTATAAGGGGGAATAAGCAGGGGATTTGTGGAAGTGAGTTGCAGGGGTTTTGTAGACTGGGGCAGTATAGGATTTGTAGAAGGGGGCAGGACAGGGGATTCGTAGGAGGGGGCAGGACAAGGGTTTTGTAGGAGGGGCTGACAGCGGTTTTGCAAAGTTTACAAATTGTAATTTAAAAAAGGAAACATTAAAAAAAATTACAGGTTTTTTTTTGGGGGGGTGGAGGGAGGGTGAGGAGGTGCCAAGCACAGGATCCGCCCAAGGTGCCAAATGCTCTAGGTACGCCCCTGGTCAGCCTCAAGCCTTTAACAGAGAAAATTGTACAAGATGCACACACTGAAGGGGAGTAGCACCTAGGAAGTGCTCCAGAAGGGGGAGGCACTCGAAAATTGAAAAAAAGCCCAGGCACACCCAGAGGTTTCCTCAGAAAGACAGACTTTATTCAGTCAGCGTTACGGCTCTCACATGAGCCTTTGTCAGTGGCTGCGCTGTGTGCAGGCTATTTCAGCTGCCTGTTTTCAGTATTCTCTTGCGCCCTGTTTTTTGCTCTTCATAAGTTTAAAGGGTAATCCAGAAGTGGACCTATTGCTCACGGTGCCTTAAGAGATATCAGCTATACCTCACTGATGATGCCTAACAGACTGAAACAATTGTCTGGGGTTGCTGTGTCTCTCGTGCAGAGGGAACTTGCTGGCATTTCGGATCTGGACTGCCCGTATGGGTGGGACCTGTCTGATATGTTTCAGAGATGTTCTTTCTGTAATGGCACAAGATGAGCTAAAACTAGCTTGAGAACTGAGCGGGGACCCACCAAAGGGCAGGCTATTTCAGCTGCTGCCTGTTCTCAGTATTGTCTTGCGCCCTGTTTTGTGCATTCATTTGATAAGTAAGTTTTTCTCTGGAGTGAGGGCGTGTTCTGCAAAACATTTTTAATTTTTTTGTGCAAAAATTAAGGCACAGTAACAAGGCCAAAACCTATCAACTGTATTAAAATTGTATTGGTGTTGTAACCCAAAGTACTTGTAAATGTTAATCATTCTCTACATATGTAATCTAATGCCGTGTCAATGTATGCTACTTGATATGTGCCAAGTTTATGTTAATCCGGCACTTGAGATGTTCAATGTATAAGCCGAAATGGCTGGCCGAACGCTTTATATTGTCTTGTATCCTTGTGTAAACTTCAATAAATATCAAACATTGATAAAAAGAAAAAAAAAATGTATTGGTGCCCGTAGTGTCCCGTTAACTTTGCACCCGACCTCCTATCTTATTTTCACTTAGTGTAGATAAAGTTGAAACTATTGGTTAGAAATACACTATTGAGCAGTGTCTCTCTTGTGTTTCAAATCTTTTTGTTTCTATCCCTCAAGTAGTGGTTAAATTAAGATATTAAAACAAGTAGTGTCATATGCATGAATATTATTCCAGGATTATCATAATCAAAATCTGCACAGCTCTTTTTTTATTCATTGCGAACATAATATGACCCGAAGACTTAAAAGTAATATATTTTGAAATGAATATTCTATTCATTTTTCCTATTACATTCAGTTTCAATCATATTATTTCTTTCAGATATGAAATATATATTTTTCACCCTAGCTGAAGAGCTATGAAAATGACATTCATTCTGCCTCTGCGGCATTTTAAATTACTTTCGCAAAATACATAATACAAAACAGCAGGGCGTGTTTGTATATGATTTTTTATTACTTTTTAAGTAATTTGAAAAAACATTCATTGCGAAAGTAGTCACTAAACATCTGAAGACTTAGCAGATAGAAATTTCACGCACTTCTATATGCTTAATGTAAACTTTTCCAAGTAGAAAAAAACATTTAAGGGTCTGTTTGTTCACTAAACCTTCATGCTACATTGACTTCTAAGTTAAAAATGTAGGCCTAGCCAAGGCTTCAATTTAAGAGTTTTGGATAACCTTCTCAAATGATTTAGTATTTTTGGATGCATTTTAAAAATTATTTTTCAAAATATAAAATACATTTTAAAGTTGATCAAAATATTAAATAATTTGAAAAGCTTATCTATTATATATTTGGAGATTCTTTTTGTTCTCAAAAAATGTTGCAAGCAGATTAGCAGTTCAGGTCAATTTGTTCAATAATTAGCAAATAGTTCAATGAGGGAATGAGCAGTTTAATATGAAGAATGTGTAATAAGACAGTTTAATAAGAATAATGTTTTTTGCCCTACAGCCAAAATCATGGCAAAATAACATCGGCAATATAAAATAATTGTATGAAGATAGGAATGTGAAGTCCTACACGTACTAGGAGATCGCCTGTGGGATTGCTTCACACAGTATATTTTAGCACTTAATTAGTGAAGGAAAAAATTCCAAATAATTGATGAACACAGAACCAATAATATGCAAATAATACCGAAAACATACATATATTTCTAAGCCATTATGGGGGCTTACTTTTACTAGTAGAGAACGTCTGTGTGAAAGTCTATTATTCTACGAGGTTAAACCCCATAGAATAATTTCTGTCAACTACCCCCTTTTTTCCACTCTACCAGGCTAGACTAGTCTGTCCACTCTAGCTTATATAAAATAATTATAGTAATATACTGTAAATCCACACAAAACTAATCCTGAATACTAAAGCTGCTAGACATCTCGGTAAAACTTTAGAAGCTGAAAATTTTACTTACTCAGATTACTGATAGGATGTAAGTACTAGTAGTTCAGCAAGGAACACATTTATGAACCTCCCATCTGATACCTTAATGCTTCAATTAGTGGAAACACCAAGTAGAATAAACAGTTGTCTCATCTGGCAAGGTGTTACAACAAACATATCACATTTGCTCTACTATAACCAGCAACGTTAAGTATAAATTATAACAAACAGACCTACTCTTGGGAATCTCCTCAAGACACGAGGAAAGAACGATTCTGTTTGGACCTGGACATCTCTGGGTCCTACCTGGTAAACACTTAAGGTCAAGCTCCATGCACATTGTTTTTTTTTTTGTTGTTTTTTTTTTTGCTCACCCCTGATTTTAACATATATTCATAGATTTAGACATCATGTCACCTTCTTACAAGAAATCCACTGGAAAAGAAAGCAAACCTTTAAAAGTTAGATGGATTTCTCACAGTATATTATCCCCAAATAAGTCCAGAGCTAGGGGTTTTCTATTATATATTTCTACTGTTAAAACTTCAAGACACTGATAAACTCCAAATGTCACCCCTGACTCACTATTAGTTCTCAGCACACAGTCTACTCTGGGCTAAAACAGCAGGATACTGATAGACTCTTTTTTACCTCTGCAGCTGGCAATATAATTAATCTGCAATGGTAATATGGAGCCAAGAAGTAGCTGACACTGAACAAAATCAATAATCATTATAGACTAAAACAGATTGCAAACACAAGCAGATCAGTCCTCAGAGTCCCAGTCCTGCAGTTTTACGCTTCACAACTTTTCAACTACCCAAAGCATAAGTGTCTGAGGTCTCACATGTAGAGTGTCTGAACGCTTTAAAGAAGATGGTGGGTATGTGCAGTAGTAGTTTTAAAACTATTAGTGACAGGCTCTTTGTCAAAAATGTCACCTTCCCATTGTCAATCATAGGCTGCCCTGGCTTTATATATAAATTATACATTTTAGTAAATTTCCTTTCTCAAGCAATCACTAAGGGGGAGATTCAAAGCTAATATTATACACTTATATTTGGTTGGGCCTGGAGCTGCTGCTTCTATGCTATCCCTGGGCTGTTTCAAAGATGGCTTCTTGCTTCTCTCTCTTGTGGGCACTTTAACCCCACCCCCTGGTGCTATAAGCCAATAATAGCCCCTCGGTAGAGAGACTGATAGCTTGCCTCTGTAGCAAATATCCATATAGTTATACAACTCTAAAATGCAACCAGTATAATCCAACTGGCTTATTTGGTAAACTTGCTGTCTGGTAATCAAAGGGTTAATAGGCAAAACTGTATGCTCTGCGTAATAATTGTATAGTGTTATAATTATTTTGTAAGAAACGTTTACTGTTAGTTTCTAAGGTTCTCAAGGCCAACGGGTGTTACTGCTCCTCCTCCCTCCTTGCAAGATAAGTGCTAGCGAAGGGTATGTGTATTATATTGTATGATATTGGGAGAAATAGTAGAAAAAGGGGATGTTAACTAACTTTTGTAACTGATAACTTGTATATATGCAAAATTTCTACTTTTTACCTCTCAGAATCAGTTTGAACTGCTTATTTTTCTATTGCAATAAAGACGTGATCCTATACTTCCACTACTCGGCCACTGAAAGGTTCATTGGAAAATACTTTTTTAGAGGATATTGGGTATTTGGCTAACACCTCCACTCATGGTCAGCTGGCTCTGCTGCCCGAATGGCAACTCGAAATTTTTGAAATTGCTTCTTAACGTATACTAGGCATGTGCAAAACCTGCTGAAACAGGGCAGATTTCAAACCAGCCACATTTTATGAAATGCTTAGATGCTCTGTGGTAAGATTCTCCAAATAACTACCAATGAGAGGGGAGTGGCCCTGCAAAACTAAATCCTATTACAGAATTAAAATGACACAAATATTTACCATCTTTTTTTTTTGGCTTACCACCTTCCCCTCCAGAATAAGAATCTTTGTGTTTCTAAACTACTGCAAATAATTTTTCGCCCCACATAAAAACTGGTGGAGCGCTGCCTCAGTTTCCCCTATGGATGAGTCTCCGCTGGTTTTAATGCTAAATAAGTAGTACTAATTACAACATTTTAGCTTGAGCAGCATTGGGCAACTGTGCTTGACTGAGAGAAGCAGTTATCCACTTTCAGACTATTACAGTGCCCATTGCTGATATAAATTAGCATCGCTAGTAAGAAGTGTGTAATCTTTACCTTAGCCATGCCTACAGTAGTGGCCTAGCTGTGGGCAGTAGTGGCCTAGCTGCGGCCTATATTAGTGGCCTAGCTGTGGGCAGCCCGGGATCTTCATTCAATGTTAAACTGCTTCAACATGGTTTAACACAGAATGGAGAGTCCTCACCAGAGTACTCCAGGCACTATAACTAATCAATTTAAATGAAATGGCTAACAGGCCTGCAATGCCCCTTTAAAGTTGAACTTCTTTTTGAATTCTTACTTTGACATAGAGGTAACATGAGGTTAACCTGCATGTACAGTGATTCTATGGAGATGATGCATAAGCAGGGGGAGGACATTGGGAGAGATGGGGTTGGCATGAGTCCTGTCAAGTGAGGAGGTGGCTGGAGAAATCTTTGGTTAGATGAATTTTTGGTTGTGTGGTTTTGCTGAGTAATGAAGTACAATGTAGATACACAACATTTTTTTTTTTTTTTGCGATAGTCTAGAAAAAGTGATAAGTAATAAGATTTGTTAAAGAAGTAGCAAACATTCTTGAGATGCTTATCATAGGAACAGGCAGAGTCATTCAAAAGGAGATAGAGATATACTAGACATCACAGGATGAAAAAAAATAATTATTATTCTTGCAGTCATGCAAACGGGAAAAAAAAAATGTTCAGACTGGAAAACGGAGACAAAACATTATTTTTCTTTATCAGTGAGAGAGAGCAATCAAATGGAGGTATAGTTCGGCTGAAAGCCAAAACATTAAACATCAAAAGAATCTGAATTGGAGTATACAATAACTCTGTACAAAATAATAAACAGGGCTGCGTCACA